GGTGTTTGCTGGAGGCTGGAGCAGGAGAGAATGGGGAGTTGTTTAATGGGCATCAAGTTTCAGTTTGAAATGATGAAAAAGTTCTGAAGATGGATGATGGTAACAGTTGCACAAAATGTGAATGCACTTAATACTGCTGAACCATACACTTTAACACAGTTAAAATGGTTAATTTTATTTTACAATTTAATTTTTCTTGTTTTGAGACAGTCTCACTCTGTCGCCCTGGGTAGAGTGCTGTGCTGTCATAGCTCACAGCAACCTCTGACTCTTGGTTGGAGCATCCTCCTTCCCCACCCTCCCAAAGAGCTGCCACGACAGGTGCCTGCCACCACACTGGCTACAGGTGCCTGCAGGTGCCTGCCACCACACTGGCTAATTTTTCTATTTTTAGTAGAGACAGGGTCTTGCTCTTGCTCAGGCAGAGTGCTAGAATTATAGCCATGAGACACCTCACCTGGCCTATTGTACACACAATTTATTTTTTTATATATATTTTTTTAGAGACAGAGTCTCACTTTGTCACCCTCAGTAGAGTGTCATGGTAGCTCACAGCTACCTCCAGCTCTTGGGCTTAGGCAATTCTCTTGCCTCAGCCCCCCTGGTAGCTGGGACTGCAGGCACCTGCCACAACGCCTGGCTATGTTTTTGTTGCAGTTTGTCTGGAGCCATGTTCAAACTCGACCCTTGGTATATGGGGCCAGCGCCCTACTCACTGAGCCGCAGGTGCCACCCTGTACACACAATTTAAAAGAAAACTTCTGGGGCCTCCAAATCTCTCCCCATGGACAAAGCCCCTGGCCCTCCCTACCTCCCAGCTTCCTCTCTTCCACACTCACTCGCTGCCCCATTTAAGCCACCCTGGTCTCCTCGCTCTGTCCTGGGCACCCCAAGCTTGCTCTGGCTCAGGGCCTTTGCCTTTGCTGTTCCCTTTGCTGAAAATGCTTCCTCCTTGACCCTGGTTAGCCGAACCATTCTTTTAGGAGTCAACTTAAATGTTCCCTCTTCAGAGAGACCTGCCTTGACCATCCCATCTGAAGCACTTCCCACCCCGCATATTCTCCGTCACACTGTCCTGTGTATTTCCTTTCTAGAACTGAGCAGTCTGTATCTTCCTAGTTGTTTTCCTTTCCCCCACTGGACATCAGCTTCAAGAGGGAGAGGGTTTGTCTGTCTTGTTCACTGCTGTATTCCCACGACCCAGAGCAGGGCCTGGCCCACAGTGGGCACGCCCTCAACATTTCTGAATGCACACACGAGTGCAGACACAGACATCTGCCCTCACCTCCCAGCGCACAGACACACATGCTGTGTGCATCCACTCTGCGCCAGTGGAGAAAAGAGGCACGTGCCCCTCGTGGACGCCGGCACACACACATGTGTGTGTGGATGCATGTGCAGAGAGCCCTGGGAGCAGGTGTGTACGTGCCCATACCCCGACTTACATCGGCAAGTGTGTAGGCGGTGACACAGGCAGGTGCGTGTATGCTCTCCTCTGCCCAGGTCAGCTATGGAGGAAGCTCCTGCCTGCTAAGGCCAAAAGGAGCCCCCCGGGCCACCCCCTTTTCTCACCTTCTGGATCATGACGCTGTACATGCCTGTGTGTTGGAAGCCACGGGTGTAGTAAAGCAGGTTCAGCCAGCCCAGCACCAGAGAGGACACAAGCAGGGGCAGGTACCACGAGATGGCCAGGAAACACAGCACCTGGGATAGCACTGTGAGCAGGGCCTGGACCAGGCTGTGGGGTGAAGGGTCTGAGTCAGCTTTGAGGACACTTGGCAATATACCGCTAGCCCCCACTGCCCAGCACTGACCACCACTGCCTCTCCCACAGTCAGGTGGCTTGAGGTGTCTTGCATCTGTCTGGGACTGGACCTAATCAATGGCCTGACCTCTGTCCTGGGCAAGTCATTTAACCTCTGTGGGCCTCAGTTGCCTGTCTTGTGAGATGGGCATAATAATCCTCACACCGGACCCAACAGTGTTTTGAGGGTTAAGTGAGTCTCTACATGAAGGGAGTCCAGGCTTCCCCGGTGTACAGCAAGGCCTCAGTAAATGTCACTACCATGGTGGCCTGCAATCCAGGATCTGACCTGTATGCAGCTCCTGACTCCCTGGAACTCCCTGACTCTTTGCTTCTAAAGCCAGCCTGGTGCCCTGTGCCACACCTGCCTGTCCCAGGCCTAGAGACTGTGGGGTAAGGAGGAGTGAGATCCCACGTACAAGAGGATTTCAAAGTAGCTGTCCATGAAGGAGATCCAGATGAACAGCCGGCGCCGCCAAAAGTACCACAGCTGCGGGGAGGAAGGACAGACGGAAAGAGGGACAGAAACATGGGGGAGGGGCAGATAAACAGAGGGACAGAGACATGGAGGGGGCAGACGGACAGAGAGACAGAGACCTGCTCTGCTCAGCCGCCTCTTGGGGCCTCGGGCCACTCACATATACCCCCTAGGTGCTCCCTGCCTGCTGGCCTGGCCATAGAGGAGGCCTGACCAGCACCACTTTGGGGGCTATAGCAGCAGCTTTAGCTTTGGGAGGACTTGTGAATCCTTCCGAGAGCTGATACGGCTTTCGACCCTCTTTCCGAAAAGAGCAGCCACCCACCCACAGACACCCAGACAATGCCAAGGGCCTCCTGGTCCCCAGGGATCGAGATGAAGAAGTCACATGTGGCATACAAAGAGGCAAGCTCCTTTCCCTCCCACCTCCTGCCTCCCACGAAGCCCCTGTCCTCTGGCCAACCTGGGTTTCATGCCCAAGTTCTGCCCACCTGGAGCAGCCCCTAATGTCTGTGTGTCCAGCCTGTGTCCTGCAGGCTTGCAGCATTTTCCCCTGAAGAAGCTCTACTGGGGGAGGTGTCTGGGCCCCACCTGCCCGTGACCTTTTGTGCCCCCCAAGAGAGGAAAGCTCCAGCCAAGGGACTTGGGGGAGCAAAGCCCGCACTGCCAAGGAATCAGAGAAGCCGTCTGCTGCCCCACAGGAATCCCAGAAAGCACAGCATGGAGGTGCCCAGGGCTCAGAAGTCAAGGCCAGAAGCCCTGGCCCTCAGCCCCCTCTGGGGGGATTGGGTATGGCAGCCAGTTTCCCAGGCAATGAAGGGATCACAGCTAACTTGCTCTAAGGTCTGCTGGAGAAGACTAGGTCTGTGTTTGGGTTAGCTGGGAGACACAGAGGGCGAGAGTGGGGGAGCCCTCACCTGGCCCAGGAGGAGGCAGATCCCTCCCAGCAGGATCAGGATGTGGCCCAGCAGCAGCATGGAGTTTCCCGCTGTGGCCTTCAGGGGGAGGAGGGCCTGTTGAAGACACTCAGGTAAGACCCAGCAGCTCAACCTCCCAGATCTGAGGGCCCATGCTGAGCCTGAGCTGTGGAGAGGCCACTCAGAGCAGCAGAGGGAACACAAGCTCCAGGGAGGGACCCTCAGATTCCAGTCTCCTGAGAGGCACTTTGTGCACTTATGGGGCCTGGGTTCAAACCCAGACTCCACCACACAGCCTGTGTGACCTGACTTATTCTGCCTCCCTTCCCTCAACTGAGGGTGCTAACAGCTCATCATGTCCCAGGGGTAGGGGTGTTTAGGGTCCTTTCTCACATAGGTGAGCATCAGTGAGTACTCATGTTATCACTAGCTCAAAGGCTCTGGCTTCCCTCAGAGTGTGGGTGCATCACTCCGGCAGCCTCAGCCCAGCATTATCCTTTGTAGAAGGGGGATGGCATCCCTGCCCATCTTCCTCCGCGGCTGTTCCTCCCCCAGGATGTGTCCACACCCCTGCCCTTGCCTTATTCAGGGCAGGCTGGTGGTAGGCGACAGCGGTGAAGACAAGCATGTAGGTCAGATAACACAGGAAGTTGAAGAAGAACCTGGGGATGAGCAGATCCCATTTCTCCTGCAGCAGCTTATTCAGGGGCTCCAGAACCACCATTCGGTGCCGGTGCTGGGGTGGGAAGGGGAGAGCCATGCTACATTCAGCAACTGCAGATGGAGACTCACTCTGTGTCAGTGCAAAGCCCAGAGAAACAGAGGGGAGAGGAACGGGAGTGGCTCCACACTCCCAAGACTCTCTAATGACCCCACTTCAGCCCTCACTGCTGCACAGTGACCGAGAGCCTCACCCTGCAGAGGAGGGGCTGATCGGGAGAGACACTCTCAGTGGTTGCTGAGGGGTTCCCTCCGGTGGTCCCCGTGTTAGGAGGGCCTGCAGTGTGGACTGAATGTGGGCCTGGCAGCCAGGAACAGGGCCACACCTGTGGGACATGCAGCCACAGCGCCGCTGGCACAGAATAAGGTGTGGTCCAGCAGTAGCTCTGGTTTGTGGATCTTACCAAGCCCTTCAAGCACATTCACATACACCCTTGCAGGCTCACCGGGCTCCTGCAGTGAAAGGCGATGATCTCTAGCACTGAGTTCTCCTCCCAGCTGTCCACAGAGGCCAGGTCGTACAGGGACACCCGGACAGGCCCATAGCACCACTCGGTGAACTTTCGGGAAAGAGCCTGGTATGGTCCTGGGAACTCCCGCTGCAGGATGTGCCTGAAAATCTGCAGAGCAGCCTCTTGAGCTTGCTTGCCAGTTCCTCCCCACATTGATGCTGGGCCAGGACTGTGACACGCCCAGCTTATGACCACTGCCCGGATCTGTAGCCCACTCATCCCCTCCATGGGGGTCATGTGCCACAGGGCACACTCTCATACCCACCCAGCCATGTACTCCCTCGCCTGCTGGCCACTCTGGCTTTTCCTTCCCCACTCCCACCCCATGGCCCTCTTTCCTGCTGTCCTCAGGTGGCAGAGAGATCCACAGCCTGTGGGTCAGAGGCTGTACATGTGCATGTACTTCTGTAATCAGAGTCCAGAGATCTCAACAGCCTTAAAAAGGGTCCCTAACCCAAACAGGTTTAAAAGGTATCTGATTTCACAAATGAGGAATGGGGGAAAGAGGTACAGATGGGGAGGTGGCTTCTGCATAGCAGTTCCTCTAGACAACAAAGTGAGGTTCACAAACCCCAGGAAGACCTCAGGAAACTTGGAGGGCAGGAAAAAAGGATTAAAGCTTCTATCTATGTTTATTTTTATCTTAGCTTAAAAAAAAAAAAATCTCTGCTTTCTAAGCATAGCACTTTGTAATGGCACAGGTGAAGCCGGCCATGACCTCAGAGATCAGACACCTGGTAAGACATGCAGAAAAATGGAGCCAAATCATGCTCACTCTTTCTGCCAAATTAACCCAACTAAATCAAAGTTTTAGGCAACAAAAATGAAAATAGAAGAAAGGCCAGCCCCAGTGGCTCACACCTGTAATCCTAGCACTCTGGGAGGCCAAGGTGGGTAGATTGCCTGAGCTCACAGGTTTGAGACCAGCCTGAGCAAGAGCGAGACCCCATCTCTAAAAAATAGCCGGGCATTGTGGCAGGCTCCTGTAGTCCCTGCTACTCAGGAGGCTGAGGCAAGAGGATTGCTTGAGCCCAAAAGTTTGAGGTGAGGTTTATGGGATGAAATCCCACATGCTGTGTGCTTACTTTAAACTCCAGAAACAGGCAAAAAGGCTTTTGTAGAATGTAGCTCTGTTGAAGACCTGGCTACCTTGGTCAGCATGATAGGGTCTGAAGGTTTGGAGGTAAAAGCCCATCTTCAGCACCCCTGTTCTATGAGGCCATTAAGCCTGCAAGGAAGGGGTTAACAGCCCCTTCTGCAGAGACAGGCCCAGACATTGTTGTGGGTGAAAGCACCTGTTGTAAAACTGCTTGGCCTCCAGGCTGCAGATAAGCAAAAGCTGTCAACCTGTCTTCTGCATTATAATCAGTGCCAGGGAAAACTTAAGGTCTTGCTCCCCTTTTGGTAATCTCAAGTTTCCAAACTTTGTGTCTCCTTTGGAGGCCGAAATAGATTTAGACAATGTTAATAGCAAGAATGCTTTGATTGTTGGTTAATGGAGTGTACGTGACCAACTTACTATAAATAGGGGTCAGAAATAAAAATCATTGCTATTGCCACCATGAGCTTGTAGTCTGTCTCTTAATAAACAATTTCAGGAGTGGGCTTATACTTGCGATGAAGCTGCCTGTCCCTCGCGAAACCCCCACGCAACAGAGGTTGCTGTGAGCTATGACACCACAGTATTCTACTGAGGGAGACAAAGTGAGACTCTGTCTCAAAAAAAAAAAAAGAGGTTAGAAGAAATTATGGATGTGGAGATGATATACATCATACTTAAGGATAATATATGCATTATATATTACATCTATGTGTTATATATATATATATATACAATCTTATAGCAGGAATTAATTGATAGCAAAAGCAGGGAACCTGCAGGAAATGGTGGCTCGGGCCTGTAATCCTGGCATTCCAGGAGGCCAAGGTGGGTGGATTGCTTGAGGCTTAAGTTTGAATCCAGCCTGAGCAAGAGTGAGACCCCGTCTCTACAAAAAAATAGGAAAATTAGCCAGGCATGGTGGCTCATGCCTGAAGTCCCAGCTACTCAAGAGAAGGCTGAGGCAGGAAGATTGCTTGAGCCCAAGAGTTTGAGGTTGCTATGAGCTATGATGACACCATTGCATTCTAGCCTGGGCGACAAAATGAGACCCTGTCTCGGAGCAGCAAAATCCCAAGGAACCTTAAAAGAGAAGATAATTATACTTGCATACGTAAACATTTTTAAATTCTGTATGGTGAAAAGAGACAATAAAATTCGAAAAATAAACAATGAACTAGGAGAAAAACTTGCCAGTGTTATAGTAGACAAAATACATACTAAGTTCATTACACATATTTACCAATCAATATGCAGAAAATCTCATAGCAAAGTAAGTAAGGGTTATAAAAAGACTGTCTCTCAGTTGGGTGACTATAGCTTGGTGGTTAGGGTACTGACTACATGCTCCGGGGCTGATGGGTTTGAACCTGGCCCAGGCCTGCTAAACAACAAAAAAAATTAGCTGGGCATTGTGGTGGGCACCTATAGTCCCAGCTACTAGGGAGGCTGAGGCAAGAGAATCACTTAAGCCCAAGAGTTTGGTGTTGCTATGACCTATGACGTCACACACTCTACTGCAGGTGACAAAGACTCGCTGTCTCAATTTAAAAAAAAAAAAGACTGAGAGGTGCCTGTGGCTCAAAGGAGTAGGGTGCCAGCCCCATATGCCAGAGGTGGTGGGTTCAAATCCAGCCCTGGCCAAAAACTGCAAAATAAATAAATAAAGACTGTCTCCTAATAAAGAAACCCTAATGGCTTAAAAAAATTCCCTTTGTTTCATAATATAACACATATAACACATTAATTAAGTAATCTATATATAATTTATTAGCACACTTTTTTTTGCAGGTTTTGGCTAGGGACGGATTTGAACCTGCCACCCCCAGTATATGGGGCCGGCACCCTATTCCTTGAGCCACAGGCACCACCCAACACACGTGTTTTAAAGGTGCATACTGAAATTTTTCTCACTAATAACAGTGTCCCATCAAAAAAATGGAGTAACCAAAACCACCACCTAAGGCTCTTTCTGCAGAACTCTTAGAGTGAGACCTACTGCCTCCTGGGGGAGAGGTGGAGGGGAGAGAAGAGATAGCTGCTCACCTCAATTTTGCCCTCTTTGGCAGCCAACTTCAGGGGTGTAAGGCCCTGCAGGTTGCGGATGTCCTCAAGCTGCACAGTATGATCAGTGTCAGCTGCAGCTTTGAGGAGCTTGTCGTACATGTGGGTCACCAGATCACTGTTCTCCTTAGAGTTGTCTGCGATCATCACCAGAGCATGCAGGACCGTGTTGCCCAGGGAGTCGGTGGCTTGCAGGCTGGCACGCTGGTGTTCGTTATCCAGGAGGTAGCTCACCACGTCCCACTGCTTGGTGCATGCAGCCAGAGAGAGTGGCAGTTCACCTGTGGGCCGAGGGGGCAGCTTGGGCCTCGGGCCTTCCAGCTTCCACTTGCCCACTCTTCAGGCTTCTTGGACAGAAGGCCAGGCCTCCTCCAAGCAGGTCAAGTTTCTTTACTATCTAAGGGAGCAGAACTGCCTTGCTTCTTGCTGTCTTTAGACACACTGCCTCTTTGTTCTGACTGCCTATTTGCCGCAGGCCAGTTCCAGCAGCCCGCTCTCCTCCCAGGGTCAGGGCTTGGCGCATGCTGAGCCTCCCTGTCCATACCATAATAAAACATCTCTTAAGACAAATTGCTTTTGCAGGAAGCACAGTGGTTAGAAGTAGAGTGTCAGGGTTGGACAGTCCTGGGGTTAAGTGCCAGCTCTGCCACTCACTAACCATGTGACCTTGGACAAGGCTTTACCCCCCTCGGTGGCTCAATTTACTCAAGAGTGCCTCACTTACCAAAATAGAAGCAAGTCCCTTGGCCCTTCTGGAAGAACTGGCCACAGGCCCGAGCATGCACATCAGCTCCATTCTCCACCAGGAGCTTCACACACTGTAGGCTCCTCTTTTCTATGGCAATGTGCAAGGCACTGTGGCCTTGATAGTACTCATCTGTACACTGGGCGTTGACCAAGGGCCGTGGATTGCCTGAGTCCCGGTCAATCTGCAGCAGTGGCAGGATGCAGGCGTTGACGCCGTCCTGAAGATTCAGCACAGCCTTCATTAGGCACGTCTTCCCTGTGGAGCCCTCTGTGGGAAAGTGGAGGGGAAGGGGCATGGGGGTGCTCAGACCTGGAGCATTGGGGCTACAGCAAGCCTAGACTCCAAAGTACCCCTGGGAGGATAAAAAAGATGGATATTCACTCCTGGTGGGAGCACAACCACATATTAAGGCTCCAGGCAACAATTAAGAAAATACCAACAGGTATAACTACAATTCTGCCCTAGAAACCACGTTTCTAAGACGTAATTCATCATCTTTGCAATGATGTCTATACAAGAACATTCAAAACTGTATTTGTTGGCCTCTCTTAAACCTCAGTGTTCCTCACTGTAAAGTGAAAATATTCCAGGGTTCAATGGAAGAATATAAACAAAATGCTTAGCACACAGAGGGCCTAGCACACAGCTGGTTGAGGCCAAAAATTACAAACAACCTTATGGCCATTGATGAGAAACTGGTTAAGAAAATTAAGGTAAATCCACGTGATGTTACAGCTGTTACAGTGACTGAGTACAGTACATACTAAATGAAAAGTGTACAAGATTCATACACAGGGGAAGCACACTGCGAAAGTATGTGTCAAGATCTCATGAACATAAATATCTTCCTCTCTTTTTTATTTCTGTTTTTCTTGAGACAGAGTCTTACTCTATCACCCTGGCTAGAGTGCCATGGCATCATCATAGCTCACAGCAACCTCAGTCTTTGAGCATAAGCAATTTTCTTGCCTTATCCTCCCAAGTAGCTGGGACTACAAGTGACTCCCCTGATGCCCAGCTAGTTTTTCTATTTTTTAGAGACCAGGTCTCGCTCTTGCTCTTGCTCAGGCTGGCCTTGAACTCCTGAGCTCAAGCAATCCACCTGCCTCGGCCTCCCAGAGTGCTAGGATTACAGGCATGAGCACTGAGCCTGGCCTGTAAATATATTCCTAATGTATTAAGAAAGTCTCTCTCCCCATCCACATCAACATCTGCAACTTTGGATTTTGTGATGTGGGCTAATCTCATTGGGGTTAGGTGATATCTTGGGGTGGTTTTGATTTGCATTTCTAGTGATAATGAGCATTTTTTCATGTTTGCTAGCCATTTGTCTGTCTTCCTCAGAGAAGGTTCTATTCATTTCTCTGGCCCAGTGATAGATGGGATTGTTAGCTCTTTTTTTGTTAACTAATTTGAGTTCTCTATAGATCCTAGTTATCAAGCCTTTGTCAAATTCATAATATGCAAATATCTTTTCCCATCCTGAAGGTGGTCTATTTGCTTTGATTGCTGTGTCCTTAGTACAGAAACTTTTCAGTTTAATTAAGTCTCATTTGTTAATTTTTGTTGTTGTTGCAATTGCTCTGGAAGTCTTCTTCACAAAATCTTTCCCTAGGCTGACATCTTCGAGAGTTTTTCCCACACTATCTTCTAGGATTTTTCTCATTTCGTGCCTTAGATTTAAATCTTTTATCCATCTTGAATCAATTTTTTTAAGTGGTGAAAAGTGTGAGTCAAGTTTCAACCTTTTAGAGGTGGTTATTCAGTTCTCCCAGCACCTTTTACTGAATAGGGATTCTTTCCCCCAGTGTATGCTTTGCTTTATCAAAGATCAGATGGTTATAAGACGTTGATTTCATCTCCTCGTTTTCTATTTGGTTCCAAATGTCTATGTCTCTATTTTTGTGCCTGTACCATGCTGTTTTGATCACTGTGGACTTGTAATATGGCCTAAAGTCTCGAAGGGTGATGCCTCCAGCCTTGTTCTTATTATTAAGAATTGCTTTGACTATCACAGGGTTTTTTCTGGTTCCATACAAAATGAAGAACTATTTTTACCAAATCTTCAAAGTTGGGAAATGATATTGGTATTTTAATGGGGATTGCATTGAGTCTATAGATTGCTTTGGAAAGTATAGACATTTTAACAATATTGATTGTTCCCAGCCAGGAGTATGGTATGCTCTTCCATTTGTTAATGTCTTCTGCTATTTCTTTTTTGTTTTCTTTTGTTTTGTTTTGGTTTTGGTTTGGGGGGGGTTTAGACACAGAGTCTCACTTCTTTCACCCTCGGTAGAGTGCTACGGCGTCACAGTTCACAGCAACCTCCAACTCCTGGGCTTAGGCGATTCTCTTGCCTCAACCTCCCGAGTAGCTGGGATTACAGGTGCCTGCCACAACACCTGGCTATTCTTTTGTTGCAGTTTGGCTGGGGCCGGGTTCAAACCTGCCACCCTTGGTGTATGGGGCTGGCACTCTACTCACTGAGCCACCGGTGCTGCCCCATGTTAATGTCTTCTGCTATTTCTTTTCTTCAGGTTTTGTAATTCTTTATAGAGGTCCTTCACCTCTTTTCTTAGGTATATTCCTAGGTATTTCATTTTATTTTATTTTCTCTCTTTTTTTTTGTTTGGGACAGAGTCTCACTTGTCACCCTTAGTAGATTGCCGTGACATCATAGCTTACAGCAACCTCAAACTCTTAGGCTCAAGCAATTCTCTTGTCTCAGCCTCCTGAGTAGCTGGGACTACAGGCACCCACCACAACACCCAACTATTTTTAGAAATGAGGTCTTGCGCTGGCTCAGGCTGGTCTCAAACCTGTGAGCTCAGGCAATCCACCTGCCTCAGCCTCCCAGAGCACTAGGATTATAGGTGTGAACCACCTCAACCAGCCCAGGTATTTCATTTTCTTTGAAGCTACTATATCTACCCAGAAGAAAAAAAAATCATTTTGTTATAAGAACATATGCACTAGATTGTTTATCGAAGCTCAATTTATAATCACTAAGACATAGAAACAACCCGAATGTCCATCAACTCAGGAATGAATTAACAAACTGTGGTATATGCACACCATGGAATACTATTCAGCCATAAAAATGATGGTGACTTCACATCTTTTGTATTAACCTGGATGGAGCTGAAACACATTCTTTTCAATAAAGTGTCCCAAGAATGGAAAAGCAGATATCCAGTGTACTCAATACTAATATGAAGCCAGTAGACAATCTAATTCATACCCACATAGGAGAAAAACTCATTTCAATTCAAGTTGGGAGGAGGGGAACAAGGGAGGGGGAGAGGGAAGACGGGGTTTGGGGTACTCCCACTGAATGGGCACAACATAGGGGTATATGGCACACCTTTTGGGTGCAGGACATAACTACAAGAGGGACTCCACCTAACAAATTCAAATATGATTTGGTTGTATATACTTCCACATTAACCTGAGATTTAAAAAAAGAAAAAATACATCCCAAATTATTAACAGGGGCCCAGGAGGATAACTGTTTTTACCCTGTGTTTTCTCATTTCCTACTGTTTGCAGAGTGCACATATGTGATTTTTCCAGTCAGTCCAAACAATAAAGATATTTAGATTTTGGGCAGAGTGCTCTGAGATGTGGAGTGTATGCTGTACGTATTATATATTATATCTCAACACTGTTATGAGAAAACAATGTTTGAGCATCCTTTCACCCATGGCCATGGGTCAAGGTGGCAGAGGAAGCTGGGAGCCAGGTGGAGTGGAAGTGAGAGGCAGTCAAGGGGCTGCCCCTCAACTTCTAACCGGGGAGCAGGCCCGCCCAGCCAGCCCAACTACCAGCCCATAGGATGCTATGGTCCGGGCCCCACAGGGCAGAGTCTACCTGTGTACTCTGAGTCGGTGAGGTACTTGCTGGTCCGGCGCAGGTATTCTCGTAGTCCAGCCAGATCCTCCGCGACACCCCTGGAGACCACGCTGAAGAGCCGGTCACGGTCAAAGCGGTTTGGGTCCGGCTGGCTACGGGGGATACAGTTTGTGACTCATGGAAGAGAAGGGCCACAGTCCCCCAGGAAGCCCTGTATCCCAGGGAGCCCTTTCAGGGAGTCCAGGAAACACTGCACACCCCTCAGATCCAGCAGCCCCACTGAAGCCCTTCTGAGGGCCTACACTCTCCCATGGCAGACCAAGGAGACCCGAGTGCTCAGAGCCCCAGAAGAAGGAGGAGGAGGGCCCTGCCCAGCATCAGATCTGCTTCATCCTTATCCCAGCATCACAGGAATGCACAGATTTTTCACTATCAAGTGTTCCTCATTTTCCAGATGCCATGAGGCATCACCTCTCAGCAGACTCATCATCTCATAGGATCTATTTCAGCACATGCAACTCATGGTGGCTCTTGAGCTTGGGTATGGGTCTGAACAGGGCTGTGGGAGGTCACCACAGATGATAGTGGCTGTAAGCACCACTGGCATTGAAGAAAGAATGAAGAAAAGCTCCCTCCTTTCAGAAACTGCCTACTGACCTCAGAATACCCTGCACCTTAATCCTCACATCAGCAGTATAGGTCAGGAATCACTCTTTTTCCATTAACTTGCCCAAAGTCACACAGTGCAAAACTGTGGATTTCATCGGGGCTGTCTAACTCTAGATCCTGACTCTGAACCCCCAGAGAGATTCTAGGCTGGGCAGCAAGAGATTTCCCAAAGGAAATCAGAGTATCATGTGGGTCCAACATTGAAACATATCAGAGGTTGTCCCAAGTTTTACTGAGAAGCCACACTTCTGGAGAATCTCTCCCTAGACCCTCAAAATGGTCTGGTAGCTCCTCAGAATCTGGGGAAAGGGCATGGAGCACTCCCTCCTAGGCTGTGTCACTATTCACAGGGATCAGCTAGCCTCTGGGACTCTTGGTACCATGACAAACAGCTAGGAAGGGACAAACAAAGGTGGGAGGTGCTATTTGATGTTTGAGGACCTCAGGTTAACATCTCCTTTAGAGGCTCGGCACCCAGTGCTCAGTGGTTAGAGCGCTGGTCACATACACCAGGGCTGGCGGGTTCAAACCTGGCCCAGGCCTGCTAAAACAACAACTACAACAAAAAAAAAATAGCCAGGTGTTGTGGTGGGCACTTGTATTCCCAGCTACATGGGAGGCTGAGGCATGAGAATCACTTAAGCCCAAGAGTTAGAGGTTGCTGTGAGCTGTGATGCCACAGCACTCTACTGAGCACAATATAATGAGACTCTGTTTCCAAAAAAAAATCTCCTATAGAAAGGGACAATCAAGTCAGGGTTGGCAATTCTGACTGTTGGGATCAACAGCCCAATCCCAGGCTGATTACCACCAGCCCTGCCTCCTCCGTTTGCACACCCACTTTTCTCTGGCCAGATGTGACATCACCCACCCAGCAGACCACATGACCACAACATGACCACGAGGGAAGGCTCTGCTGCTGCCTTGTGAGCCCTGTGGGTGGCAGTCCAGCTTGGGGAAGTGGTCATTTGGACAAAACACTTCCTGTTACAGGGTGACATCATGGTCATGGGGTAGGGAAGCCTAATGAAGGCACAGATTGAGGCTTGGAAGTGCATTGAGGGGCCTATTCTGCACTGCCCCCAGAAGCTCCACATGCATTCTCTCCCGCACCGGTGCTGCCAAAGTCATCCCGCACACAGAATACAATGGGCCCCAATGGGCTCCTGTGGGGTGTACCCAAAGCACAAGGAAGAAGGAAGGGACTTCCCTGCAGTCTTGCCTAGCCTATGAGGATTCAACAGCCTCACACTAGGGGGATGCAGGACTGGGAGCAGGAGCTCACATAGTCAGAACTGGCAGAAGGACCACAGGAAACCAAAGCACACAGGACTCCAAGCAGAAGCCTATCACCCTCAGCCCCCCAAGTTCTCATCCCTTGTCCTGAGTGGTATGGTAGAGCTAGCCTTGGGAGAGAACTGAGAAGTGCAAAGGACATTTCCAGATATCCTTGATTCCCTCCCTGGATAGGGTGTGGATCCTGCTACAGTCCCCCATGATGACCATGACAGGAATGGGGGTCAAGACATGAAGAAAGGAGATTTGAGGGTCGATTGAGTACTTGGAGCTGGAAGAATGTGTCCCTACAAAAAAGAACAGGACCTCCAAGGACAGAAGGCACAGAATGGGGAAGGTTCCAGAAGGAGCAACCCCAGAGAGTAGAGCAGAGGTCAGCTGTCCAGCACGGGAGTGGCAGGCTGTGGGGAAGGGACTCTGGTGCTGGGCTGGCAGGGTGCTCTACTAGCGCTGAGGGCCTACCCCTGCCCCAGCCCCATCTTCTGCCTCACCTAGCACCTGCTTTCTTTCGGTAGTTAAGGTTCACTTTGATCTGATGTGGGAAGTTCCGATCCTCGCCTTGGAATGGTGACTCCATGGGGGGTGGCCCACTCCCAAAGCCTGGCTTTCCTTTGTCCACCTCAGCACCATCTTCTCGGTCTCCATCTGATGTCTCCAGTCTGAAAACTGGAGGGCTAGAGGGCGAGGTCATGCTAAAGGGAGGAGGCTGCTTGATCCAGCTGGAGGCTCTGTGGAGATGGGGATGTCAGGGTCCCTTCTTCCTCTCAGCCGCAGGTCTGGAGCCTGCAAAAGGAGGTGGGTGTGTAGAAGCTGCGTGCAAGGAGATGATCACCCACTGTCTGCACCGCAGACCCACAGGAGGGGGAGTGAATGGGGGTGGAGGGAAGGCAGGGACTGAGGAGGTGGGTGTGTAGAAGCTGCGTGCAAGGAGATCACCCACTGTCTGCACCGCAGACCCACAGGAGG